GTGAAAGAAAATACAAATACTTACTTGAGACAGCAAGGGCCCTACTTTACCAGTCCAAACTACCTATAAGGTACTGGGGGGAGTGTATCCTAACAACCACATATCTAATAAATAGGCTTCCATCAACTATTCTTAACAATAAAAGCCCTTTTGAACTCCTGTATAAAAGAAAAGCCCAAATACTCACAACTGAAAAGTTTTGGATGCCTATGCTATCCTTGTGTTCTGAAACCTCACAAAGACAAGTTTGAACCAAGAGCCACACCCCATGGTTTTGTAGGTTATCCTTTTGGTACAAAGGGTTACAAGGTCCTAGATTTGGCCACAAAGAGAATACACATATCTAGAGATGTAGTGTTCCATGAAAATATTTTTCCCTTTGCAGTTTCACCTGAAATTCTAGCTTTCCTTCTGCGTTACATCTGATAAACTCTAATCCATCTTTTATTCATTTTACTTCTGAACCTCAGAATAATTGTAACTTGTATGATAAGGATGCATCAATTTCTGTCACTAATGGCCATGTATCAGATAATGTTGCACCTCTTTCTTTACCTAATCCAATAGGACCTAATCAAGATATACCAAATTCACACATATCTCCAGAAAACAGCCCTGGTTGTCAACCATCAACACAGATGCAACATGTTGAGTCTCAAGACATTGAGACCAATAATTCTTCTCAACCAAATCCCTCACAACCTAGAAGATCAGGCAGAACACATACAACCCATGCACACCTCAAAGACTATGTGTATTCTTTACCAACCCTTCAACATCATGACATAGAACCTGAACATCACACCAATCCCACATACATTTTGTAATAGTAAACAACATATCTCCCTCAATGTATTGCATTCTAAAAGATAGCAATTGCTTAGAAACATTTCATATGATTGTAAGCCATCTTCTTATGAGGAGGCATCCATGAATCCTGCATGGCAAATGGCAACGACATGGGAATTTGAAGCTTTATATGCTAACCATACTTGGGATTTAATCGAACTTCCTGCAGGGAAGAAAGCTATAGGTTGTAAATGGGTATACAAGATCAAACACAAGGTTGGTGGAAGTGTGGAGAGATTCAAAGCAAGGCTGGTGGTGAAGGGATATATAGAAGAAGCAGGACTATACAGAGACCTTTTCACCAGTGGTAAAGATGACCATAGTTAGAACATTGATCATCATTGTAGTAAAGAGAGGGCGTGACCTCTATCAACTAGATGTAAATAATGTATTTCTTCATGGGGATTTACCTGAAGAAGTGTATATGGAAATTCCAAAAGGACTAATGGTACCTAATAGAAATCTAGTTTGCAGACTTAGGAAATCATTGTATGGTCTAAAACAGGCTACTAGAAAATGGTATGATAAATTGACAGAGTCACTGCATTCCAGGGGTTTCAAGCATTCAGCTAGTGATTACTCTTTGTTTTACAAGAAATAGGGGACCTCAGCAGTCTTTGTAGCTGTGTATGTGGATGATGTGATTATTACTGGATCCAATTTGGAGGAAATCAAAAAGTTGAAGGCTTTCCTGCATCACCAATTCAAGATAAAGTATCATGGGAAGTTACATTACTTCTTGGAGCTAGAGATGTTGTACAAGGCAGATAGAGTATTGGTTTGCCAGAGGAATTTACCATGGTGTAACGACCCGACCGGTCGTTTTTGGAATTTACGCCCCGATCCCCTATTAACTGCTTCCCCCAAGTTTATTTCTGCTATTTTTGGTTTGCCGGGATGTTCGATTTTGAGTTTCGGAGAGTTTTGGGACACTTAGTCCCTAAATGAGAACTTAAGTGTTGGAAAATCGACCGTAGTCGGAACAATTTGAATACTGCCTCGGAATGGAAATCCGATAGTTCCATTAGCTCCGTTAGGTGATTTCGGGTTTAGGGGCGTGGTCGGTTTATGATTTGAAGGTCCGTAGCTAAGTTAGGCTTGAAATGCCGAAAGTTAAATTTTGGAAGTTTCCGGTTCGATAGCGAGATTTTTGATCCGAGGGCCGGAACGAAATTCCGGAAGTTGGAGTAGCTCCGTAGTGTTGAATGTGACGTGTGTACAAAATTTCAGGTCATTCGGACGTGGTTTGGTTAGGGTTTTGATCGAAAGTGTATTTTTGAGGAAATTTGGAGTTCTTAGGCTTAAATCCTTGATTAATTCGAGTTTCCGATGTTTTTTTAGGTGGTTTAAGGATTGGTACAAGTTTGAACGAGGTATTAGGTGTTATTGGTGCTTTTGGTTGAGATCCCGGGGGCCTCGGGATGATTTTGGATGGTTGACGGGAAGGTTGAGAAAAATGTTGCAGCAGCTGTAGTATTGCTGCTTCTGGTATTTTTCGCATCTGTGGCTTGGGAACCACAGATGCGGCACCGCAGAAGCGGCTAAAGGGCCGCAGAAGCGGTTTTGGGGTCATTCCTTCAGGAACCGCAGATGCGGTATATTTTCCGCAGATGCGGTATATTTTCCGCAGATGCGGAACCGTAGATGCGGTATATTTTCCGTAGATATGGAACCGCAGATGCGCTATATTTTCCGCAGATGCGAAAATCCATGGGCAGAATGTTTTAAGTTCAGAAAATGGGACTTCGTCCCATTTTCCATTGTTACCAATTTGGAGCTTGGGTGAGGCGATTTTTCGAGAGATTTTTCAAGGAAAACAACGGGGTAAGTGTTCTTAACTTAATTTTGGTTAGATAACTCGAATCTATCACAAGTTTTGGCATTAAATCCGTAATTTTAGTTGGAAAAGTTTAGAAAACCCTCTTGGTTAGATTTGATGATTTGAGGGTCGAAATATTATGGGATTTGTATAATTTTGGTATGGTTAGACTCGTGAGAGTGCGTGGTTTCTGGAAATATAAATTTCGCCCGATTCCGAGATGTTGGCCTGAGGGGCGTTTTGGTCATTTTACATAATTCCGCGTATTAGCTTAGAATTTAATTGTAGAATCAATTACTTGAAGTGTTATTTACATTATGAAATTGAATTGAATAGATTTGGGCCATTGGGAGTCGAGTACTCGTGGCAAAACGTGGTTTCTAGTTGATTTGAGCCGGTTCGAGGTAAGTATCTTGCCTAACCTTGTGTGGGGGACTTCCCCTTAGGATTTGAGTCTTCTCTGTTGATTGTAATCCGAGTACGCGAGGTGACGAGTGCGTGCTCGGACTTATTTGTGGAAACTTGGCCTTTTAGGATTCTTAGGTCCTTATATTCACTGAGTATGAAGTTGTTCTTGATATGATTGAATTCCCTATTACTAGTTTCACCTCAACATGTTTTACTTGGAATTTACTGCTTTATGGTTCATTCTTATTGCCTAATTGACCCTTACATTTGTTTAACTGAAGATCTTTTCCTCTATTGTCGCGTTAGCTTTCATAACTGCTTGTTTTATTGGAAATCATTATTATCACCCGTGTAATTATTTAGTCTTAATTGAAAATTGTTGTATATCCTTCGTAACCTGCCCAACCTTTGAAAGAAGAGTAGATATTCTATGTTCAGTTGATATTTCCTTATTTGAAATTTACTTGACTCTTGTTAACTCCCTTATTGTTGAACTACATGCTATGGGGTCGTTGCTTCATATTATTTTTTTCTCCCTTGTTGAGTTGATTCACTTGTTGTGTTCTTGTGTATATATTGTCATTGTTGCTGTTGTACTTGGGGTGTGATGCTCGAGGTTTCTGCCGTGCGGTTATTGATATTGTGATGCACGAGGTTTTTGCCGTGCGGTTATTGATATTGTGATGCACGAGGTTTCTGCCGTGCAGTTGTTGTGGTGGGGTCGCATGAGGTTTCTGCCGTGCTATTGCTACAATTGATATATTGCACATGCGACGTAACAAGGCGGGATATGTATATATGCTTATATGTGGGTTTCACTTGTGGCGAAATAAGGTGGGAACATTATGATGCACGTGTGGCGAAACAAGGCGGGCACTTATTATGTTATTATTTGCACACGTGGCGGAACAAAGTGGGCTATGTCAGGGGTTGATTGTGAGTATTTGTGATGGCCTGAGGGCATTTCTGTTTTGTTCAAATGTTGTGATTGTGGTTCGTTTACCTATATGAACTTTATCCCATGGGAGTTGTGAGGTGAGTTGTCAGTGTGACCGTGAGGCTGATGAGGGCACTGGATGCCAGTGATTAGATTTCAGGTACTAGGACTCGTGAGTTTTAAGTGTCCGAGATTCGGTAATTCGCGGAAATTATTGGATAAGACCCGATTTGAACACCGTCGTAGGATCTGAGTTATTGTTTTGTTTTCCCTTTACTGTATTGTGACTTTAGGATTTGGGATGAGTTTTTGCCCACTCTCATGTGTCATCATTCTTAATATTTTCGTTGTTACTTGTTGTTCTTTTCCCTTGTTGTGATTGTAGCATTGTTGGTCATTTCGTACAGTCTTTACATAAATATATATCATGTTCCGTTGTTCCTACTTTTGCACTGTTTATTACACCGGTAGGTGTCTCGACTGTTCCTCGTCACTACTCCACCGAGGTTAGTCTTGATACTTACTGGGCACCGCCGTGGTGTGCTCATACTACTCTTCTGCACATTTTTGTTGTGCAGATCCAGGTATTTTCCATCCAGTTCTATCACCCTTGGGATGAGGCGTTCTGTAGAGACTTCGAGGTATATCTGCTACGTCCGCAGACCGAGGAGTCCCTTTCTATCTTCTGTAATAAGTATAGTCCCTTCAGTATTATCCCTTGTTTAGATATTTCCGGAGTTACAGCTTCTTATGTATCTCCTAGCTTGTGATTTGTGAGATTTCGGGTTTTGGGAATTTTGTTAGCTTCGAGAGTTGTTATTGTATGTGCCGAGCGGCACCTTAAACACTGTTTATTTTTATTATTCCGGTTTTTAGTTATTTTTTTCCGCAATATTTGTTTATATTCCGCATTTGTTAGGCTTACCTAGTCATAGAGACTAGGTGCCGTCACGATGGTTCACGGAGGGCGAACCGGGGTCGTGACACATGGATCTACTAAAGGAATATGACTGTTTGACATACTCTTCTGTCAGCTCTCCACTTGATCCTACCATCAAATTGAGAAGTGAAGATGGAGCCTTGTTCCCTGACCCAGGGTATTACAGGAAACTAGTTGGAAAACTAAACTTTCTGACAAATACTAGATTGGACATAGCCTATAGTGTTCAACATTTAATCCAGTTCATGCAGACACCAAGAGAACCTCATCTAAAGGCTGCTATACATGTACTTAGATACTTGAAGAAAGATCCTACTTTGGGAATTTTTCTATCCAATGATCCTAACTACATTGTTAGTGCATACTGTGATTCAGACTGGGCTGCTTGCCCTGACTCAACAAAGTCTGTGAGTGGGTATATTGTGCTGCTTGGAGAGAGCCCTATCAGTTGGAAGTCAAAGAAGCAAACTATTGTTTCATTGCCTTCTACAGAAGCAGAATATAGGTCAGTCAGGAAGGTTGTTGGTGAATTAGTGATGTTTAGCTTAAAGTATATATATTTCTATGTATATCGCCTCATGTTTTACTTTTGTTCCGTGAATTTGGGATGTTAAATGCTATGATTTATATTAATTTGAAGTGTTTTTACTTGTAGGAATGATTCGGGAGCAATTGGGGGCAAAACGCGCAAGATATTGAGCCAAAACGAACAAAATCGAAAAAATGGGCATTTGGGCGCCACAGGCAGCGCCTGGCGCCACCTGTGGCGCTGGAGGCAGAATCATTAATTTGGGCAGCGCCCTGGTGGGCGCCTGGCGCCGGGCCGGGCACCGTTGACGTGATTTTTTGTCCTATTTTGCTCGGGACTCGGTTTATTCGGCCCTAGACCTATCTAGCACGTATAAAAGCCATCCTAAAACCTATTTTGAGGGGGAGGACGTTTTTGAGAGGAAAACACAAGCATAGATGGAGGCCGGGTTTTATCTTTTCTTCCACCTAACTTAGTAATTTCTATGTTTCTTTGTATGATTTGTTGTTTTGCTACCATGTCTATGTGGAGCTAAACTTCACGTTCTAGGGTTGTGGTTCTTTCATGACTATTGTTATTCGGATATTGATTTTGATTTCTTAGTTTATCATATTGGTTTATTTATTTAATCTTGCACTTAATTATTTGATTGCTTGATCACCAATCAAATACTATCTACGAATCTAGAATTGAACTAGAAAGTGGGAATTCTAGATTGCATATAGGATTGAGTAGAGCAAGTTCTTGAACCTAGGCATCGGGGAAAGGATTCGCGGTTAGGATAGACATATACCTAATTGCCTTGCTTGGTTAATTTACAGGAATTATAAATGCGTTCTTGTTAGTTCTAGTTTCATAGACATATAGGCGTTAGGCTAGCTCGAATAGGCGAGTAAGAACTCGACAGATTCTTATGAGCAGTATTAACCCTGTTAACCAATAAACTAGATAAATTAGTTAGTCAATTCAATTAAAGAATACAATAGGAATGTTAGATAGCCCATAACCCTAGATCGTTTTCATTACATTGATATCATAAAAATCTGCTCTTCCTCTGCTTAAAGTTCATTATTTATATTTCTTTATTTAAGTAGTTTAGAATCAAATATTTCTAGGTTTAATTCTTGTTTAGATAATTAGGATCGTCTAATTTAGTTAATAGTTAATCACAAGTCCTCATGGGTTCGACATCCGACTTTTAGTCACTTTATTACTTGACGACCGCGTATACTTGCGTGTGCGTTTGGCCGCAACAATTAGTATGGGTGAAAAGGTTTCTAGAAGAATTGACAGTCATGTGTGCCAATCCCATAACTTTGTCTGTGATAGTCAAGCAGCTGTGCGTATTGCAAGAAATCCTGTATTCCATGAGAGAACAAAGCATATCGAAGTGGATTGCCACTTTGTCCGGGACAATATACAGGAGGGACTAGTTGAATAGCATCACATCTCCACCTCTGATCAACTGGGTGACATCCTGACAAAGGCACTCACAGGGATCAAACACTCAGATCTTCTCAGTAAGTTGGCAGTGAACTCCTCACCTCCAACTTGGGTGGGGGAGGGGGGTGGGGGTATTGAGAATAACTATACAGTTGTATACAGTTAGTGGTGTAGCAGTTAGTTGTGTTAGTTTAGCAATTGATAGTTAGTGGCAGTTTATTAATTACATTTTCCTTTATCTCTTTACACACGTGTATATACATTCTCTGTAGAAGTGAAAATAAAGTAGATTCATTTTTCCTCAATTGCTCTCTCATCTAGAATCTTCTTTCTGAAGCTTAGAGAGAACTTCATTGGTGGAGCCTAAGTCACTTTGAATCTCATTCTTGACAAAGATAATATTACATATTTCTCGTATATATAGCATGTGTCCCTTGGACGATAAAAGAACATATTCCATGTGAAGTGGCTGGGTTTCGTAAATCGTACAGTCAGTCAAATGGCAGCAACTCAAATTTCTCTCTCAATATTTTATTGACTGAAACCTGAGCAAATGACATGGTCAACAAGGCCTCTCCTTGTATTGCGTATCAATAGATATTCATGCATTAAATATCCTAGGTTTCCAACTAATCCAAATTGTTTAATTAGTACCGACTGTTTAGTTAAAATGACAGTTAAGCTACACCTATTGCATTCCACGAAGATAATGCAACGTTGTAAAGTAGTAATACTACTTAATTACAGGAATTGTTTGTCGGACTGGAGTAGTACTTACTTCCTCCGGTTTTTTTTAGTTATTATGATTATTAAAAATAATCGGTCTAAAATACTTGTTCTTATTAAAAAAATTAACTATTTATTCACCTTTATCCTTACACTAATAAATACGAAAATATATGACAGTGAAGGCAAGAATAATAATAAATTGAGATTAAAGAATAAATTATACTTTTAATTAATCTTTTATTAAGAAAGTGTAAAAATCAAATATGACAAATAAAAAACGGGAAGAAATAGTAGTATATAAATATCAAGCATCGCTTGACTAAAGCAAGAGAGTAAAAATGAAACATAGAAGCTTTCTACGACGAGCAAAAACCACAACTCACATGTTTGACCAAAAACGGTGAAAAAGAAAAAGAACTTTCTGTATACTTGTAACTAGTTTCTTAGAACCATGAAAATATTCACTTATTATCAAACTCCATGGAAAAAAAATCCATCATATTCTCAAAAGAAAAATTCAAGAAGCTTGGAAAATCAAGGAAAATTTTCCTCTAATCGACCTAGGAGCAGACTATTAAATAACAAAATTCAAATGCGAGGAACATATGGTCAGGATTCTAAACAATGGCCTATGGTTCATATTTGGTCATTTTCTCTCAATCCAAAGATGGAAGCCAAACTTTGTGGCAACGGAAGTAAAAATCTCTCTCACAGCCGTATGGGTTCGTCTACCCCAGTTACCAACCGAGTTTTATGATGGTATTATCCTAGCGAAAATTGGAAATACCATTGGTAAAATATTAAAAGTGAATGCGTGCACATCCTTTACGCTAAGGGGTCGTTATGTCAGATTATGTATTGAGCTTCCACTTCAGGTTTCGTTCATCCCCTTCATCCATATTGGTCATCACAAACAACTCATCCAATATGAAGGAGAGAACACTCTATGCAAACAATACGGAAAACTAGGACATGTGGCAACAAGGTGTCAATATGTAAAATCTCCACTACCAGTGCTAAACACCCTCCCAGGCAAAACAAATCCTCACCCAAACGGAATAAATAATGTCCATGAAGTAAATGGAGAAGTGTGGCAGACGGTTAAGTTCCCCAGGGGTGTACTGAAACTACTCAAAAATCAGGTATTTACTCAAATCTTCCACATCCAATACCGGGTAAGTCTCCTACTCAATTCCCTAATACTAGCTTTAATTTTTCTAACACTCAAAGCATGAGTAATGCTAAAGCAATTAGTAATCCTTCCACTTTTTCTCCGAGAAATCACGTTAGCTGTAGCAACAAATTTTCCACCATGGAAAATCCGCCGATAAAAACTGTGGCTAATGATTTTCATAATACAAAAAACAATTTATTTTTAGGAAATAAAAATGTCGCATTAATCATTCCTCCGATAGCAACGTGTCTTGCATGGTGGAGAGAGAATTATCCAACATGCAAATGTTAAATTCCCTCACTTATGATATAAAGAGGATAACCAGTCTAAAACTACCATTATTAATTACGGGAAAGAAACTAATTTAACTGAAAATCATCTCCCTAATTCCTCTCAACAAATCGATAATGAACCAACTTACTGCACGGAAGAAGACCATGCCCCACAACACCCGTCCCACATGCCCTCCCCAATTGAACAAATTGGCCAATAAGAGCCAACACGTGCCTAACCCTACTACTATACCCAATTCGCTTAAAATCTCATCTCAAACATGCAATCAAGGCATGCAAATAGACCAAATCATTAGCAACCTAGAAAATCCCTCTACCCAAACCCTTTCCCCTTCCACCGATCAAAACAACACTGTTACTATAAACCACCTCTCTGATAACAAAAATGCCAAGAATACCTATTTCCCAAAGGAGGAGGTACAGACTTGTGCAAATCCTAAGGCATCAAAGAGCTCACACAATGGCCAACCCTGCACTAAACTTGAACAACCAACAAGGAAACCAAACAATCTTCTTCATTCAACCACTTCTTCCCCAAGACCATCAACCTCTTTCATGGATAGAACAAGCATTGATGGGTCATGCAGTCTCCTTCAACATGATCCTGGATGGTCAGGAGACAGTGGTCATTCTCCAAAATTCTCACTTTCTAGCTCAACTTGTTTCCGAAAGAATTCAAATGGCCATGAGCAACTACCACAACCATGTTTGGCTAAACAATATACTCCACCCACTAGCCCCCACAATGAAGGCACACCAAGCTCAAAAAATGAGGAATCAGTGGAACCTTCCACCTCACTTCAATCCCCTCCAGCCACAGAATATGTCACTGGATCTCCCTTTCTTTCCTCCAGGGGAGATCCAAAACCTAAATCTAATTTTCTTTCCCTGGGCATCAGCCCCACACTTCTTTCAGAACCAACCTCAAGCAGCTCCTCCAGTAAACAATCCACCACCATAACCAGCCAATCCCAATGTGCAAGAACAAGAAGAGCCTCAAGTAGGGAATGTAGAAGAAATGAACTTACTAGGATCGGAAGACTTAATAGAATTCTCAAGTCTAAACGAAGTAAAAGTCTATCTCTTCAGGGAGATGCAGAGAAGAGGCACCAGCCTTGTACAAGTGCTCAATAGACATCAGGCCACCAAAAGACCCAACGGTGGGGAGCCATGCAATGATACTTGTTCCCTCTTTGAGGAGGAACCCAATGCTCCATGCAAGAATGGAGAATGGCTCAAACAACAACCATGCAACAATGATGTATAGGCCTACTAACATAATCATCTGGAACATTCGTGGTGGTAACAACGATAACTTTCGTATCAACTTTAGGGAAATGGTCGATACTCATAAACCTTGCATGGTTACTTTGCTAGAAACTCATATGGAAAATCATATCACCCTATTGAATGGCTTTCCATTTACGAAATGATTGGGTTCCATCTGAGGGTCAAGCTGGGGGAATGGTGATTATGTGGGATGCTAGCATTGTGAAAGTACATGACTTTTTCAGAAGGAACCAAGAGATCCATGCTACTGTTGAGGTAACCCCTTCATACTACTTGGTTATTTTCCTCAGTATATGCTAGCATCAACTTAGATAAAAGATGTACTCTATG